CCCCTTCCCCCCCCAGGTACATCGTGTTCGAGGGCGAGGAGGGGCAGGATGCGGGCGGGCTGCTCCGGGAGTGGTACATGATCATCTCGCGGGAGATGTTCAACCCCATGTACGCCCTGTTCCGCACCTCGCCCGGCGACCGCGTCACCTACACCATCAATCCCTCGTCCCACTGCAACCCCAACCACCTGAGCTACTTCAAATTCGTGGGGCGCATCGTGGCCAAGGCCGTGTACGACAACCGCCTGCTGGAGTGTTACTTCACCCGCTCCTTCTACAAGCACATCCTGGGCAAGTCCGTCAGGTGCGCGGGGCTCTGGGGAGGGTGGGGCCTGGGAACGGGCGGACGCTTGTCTCCAAGGCGGGTCACTGGGGTTGGGGGGCGCCCGCTGGGGGGCTCCGTGACCCCACTGACCCCGTCCCTCCCCAGGTACACGGATATGGAGAGCGAGGATTACCACTTCTACCAGGGCCTGGTTTACCTGCTGGAAAACGACGTGTCCACACTAGGTTACGACCTGACCTTCAGCACCGAGGTACTGGGGGGCTGCGCTGGGGGGCTGTGGGATGGGCTGTCTTGGGGGAGGCTGGATGGGGTGGCACTGGCCGGGAATGGAGCCCCCCCTCACCCGCTGCCCCCCCTCACCCCACAGGTGCAGGAGTTCGGGGTGTGTGAGGTGCGGGACCTCAAGCCCAACGGCGCCAATATCCTGGTGACGGAGGAGAACAAGAAGGAATACGTGCACCTGGTCTGCCAGATGAGGATGACGGGTAGGCGGCTGCGGGGTGGTTCTGGCAGGGGGCCCGGGTTTCTGTAGGACCTACACAAAACGAACATCGCCAAGCAGCCCAGTGAGACCGAGCTGTAAATTAAAGAGCGAAGCAGGAACTAGGATTCCTGGGTTCTCTCCCTGGCTCTGGGAGGGGTGTGGGGGCTGGTGGTTAGAGCAGGGGGGGCTGGGAGCCAGGACTCCTGGGTTCTCTCCCTGGCTCTGGGAGGGGAGTGGGGGCTGGTGGTTAGAGCAGGGGGGGCTGGGAGCCAGGACTCCTGGGTTCTCTCCCCGGCTCTGGGAGTGGTTAGAACAGGGGGGGTAGGAGCCCGGACTCCTGGGTTCTCTCCCAGCTCCAGGAAGGGAGGGGAGGCTGGGGGTTAGAGCAGGGGGGGGCTCACGGATTCTGCTCCCCGCCCCCCAGGAGCCATCCGCAAGCAGCTGGCTGCCTTCCTGGAGGGTTTCTACGAGATCATCCCCAAGCGCCTCATCTCCATCTTCACGGAGCAGGAGCTGGAGCTTCTCATCTCGGGGCTGCCCACCATCGACATCGACGACCTCAAATCCAACACCGAGTACCACAAGTACCAGTCCAACTCCATCCAGGTGAGGGGCCGCCCCAGAGCTGGCCGCAGTTCTGCGCCAGGCGCTGTTATGTGCGGCTGTTCCCCAGCTGCCCCGCCCCAGAGCTGGCTGCAGCTCCGTACCAGGCAAGCCAGCCCCATGTAATGTTCAGTGCGGCTGACCCGCTCCCTCTGCCCCGGCAGATCCAGTGGTTCTGGCGAGCCCTGCGTTCCTTCGACCAGGCGGACCGAGCCAAGTTCCTGCAGTTCGTGACAGGCACCTCCAAGGTCCCCCTGCAGGGCTTCGCCGCCCTGGAGGGCATGAACGGCATCCAAAAATTCCAGATCCACCGGGACGACCGCTCCACCGACAGATTGCCTTCCGCTCACACGTGGTGAGGGGCCGGGGCAGGGCGTGGGGCCCTTCCCCTCCAGTGGGGGCTGGGTGCGGGGACACGGGGCAGGGCGTGGGACCCTTCCCCTCCAATGGGGGCCGAGTGCGGGGACACGGGGCAGGGCGTGGGGCCCTCTCCTTCCAGTGGGGGCTGGGTGGGGACCCCCCATGGGAAGGGGGCGTACAGAAGCCGGCGGGAGGGAAAGCTGTAGACTCTGATCTCCTGGGAATTGGGGGGTGGGGTAGGGTGGGGATCTGTCTCAGCCCCTGTGGGGGGGAGGTTCGTTGGCCTCCTGCCCCCCATCTCACTGATTTCTCCCCCTCACCCCAGTTTCAATCAGCTGGACCTTCCCGCCTACGAGAGCTACGAGAAGCTACGTCACATGCTGCTACTGGCCATCCAGGAGTGCTCGGAAGGCTTCGGCCTGGCGTGAGCCGGGCGCCCGCCTCCGCGGCTCTTTTTGTACTGAGGCAGACTCGGGGGACAGGGAGGGGCCAAGCCATGGGGGCGGGGCTTAGCGGATCTCCACCCCTTCCCTTTCCGAGGTGGCGCCCCCCCCTCCCACCACACACACACACACACACACACACCCCACGCGTCCGGAGAGAAGACAAATGATATATATAAATATATATATTA